CCCCAAAACCCCAAAACCCCAAAACCCCAAAACCCCATGATTATGACTTAGTTAAAAGTAACAAATATAAAGTATAAATTAAATGCAGCTTGCTATTCAATTATCAAAACCCTCTATTTTTAAATCATAGGCATTCTCAATAGCATCAGTGAGAGCCTTACAGTCTTCTAACTCCATTTCCTTAACCAATCTAATTATTGTCTTGATTCCATTGCTAGCAATCAAATCATGCAAAGTTTCCTCAAGCCAAGCTGGGAATTTGTGGTAGTGCTCAATACCATCTTCCTCAGCTTAGTCTAAAATCTCAGCCATACACACTAGACATGCTTTTGGGTTGTAAGTATCAGCATAAATCTTCAAAAGTCTTGACCAGGCATAAAGTGAAAAACCCTTCTCAATTCCATTTCTAAAAGCTCTCTCAGCCAATCTCTTTCTGTTAAGTCTTTCAGCTAATATACCTCTGTGTATCCAAAGTATTCCTGCTTGTTGCTTATCATTTGAGCCTCTCTTTTTCTCATCATTTTCCCATTCGCATAGAAGGTTAAGATCATCAAAGAGTAGTTGAATAAGCTTATCAATTTTTAGGCATAATCTTTTCTTTCTATATTCTTATTCTTGAGCTTATTCAATTACTCGATCACTCTCACTTTCTTCCTAATCATCATTCTTATCTTCTTCTGAATGATTAGATATAAATGTAATTTGCTTGTCTTCTACTGTGGCCAGATCAAGGTTGCTCTTTCTTCTTTACTTCTTATAGCTAGCTTAGTTATTTCCATTATGTTTTGCGGGAATCGGAGAATCATCTTTATCATCTATGTCAGACTTTTCCTCTTCAGCAATTGTGTCAATTTTAGAATTTTAGATTTTTTCAACTTATCTTCTTTTATTGGTGAATTTTTCAGCCTAGCTTTAAATCTCTGCAATAGATTCATCCATCATATTTCTTTGGTTCCTTGAGGTTCCACTGCTTCTAATTTTCTTAGTCTATGTGCCTGAGAACTAAGCATAATAAAATGGATTGTCATAGATTGGATTTTCTGACTCATCTAAAAATGTAGCAGATTTAATCTTCAATAATGTATCCCATGATATTTCCTTTTCTATCTTTACCAATAAATCATAACATCTTTTCTCGCAGGAGGTAAGTTAAACTGAGTTGACTCTCATCAGTTTCTTCAGCATTTCCTGATCTTCTCTTGTCATATCTCCAATATAGGGAGTTGGCTCCTCTCCCTTCATAAACCAGTTTAATAATTGCCCTGGATCTTCACCCTATTAATAAAATTATATATCGAGAGTTATTTACTGATTTTCTATAGTCAATTTTTTATGGAGCTACCATTAGATACGGATGCATATCAGAAGTTTTCTTTGACTTTGGCTTGGTAAATTCATAATCATTGATAAGTTCAGTCTTTTACACATAATCAGCATCTGCATAGTATGGGGCGATATCAAGAGCAATCAAGCTCTAAAGATTTATTTTTAAGCAATAATTACCATCTTGATTTTCTTCATATGGAAGTATACTTCAGCTAATTAGAACCAAGCCTCAAAGCTTTCAGGACAGAGATCAACGCATATTTTAGATAATTTCAGAGCATACTCAAAATATTCACTTTTGATGAAGGCTTGTGCTTATTTCAATAGTAATGGGACGAGATAAGGGTATTCTTTTATCTTATCAGCTAAAAGTAGAATAGACTCTTTGTTTTTATCAATACTTAAAAAGACATCACTCATGTGTGTAACAATTAATGGATCTTCGTCTTACACTAATAATATAAAAAGTTCGAATTAATACTTGGCATTAAGAAGTTAATGCATTCTTGAATCCTCTTTTTCCTAATTAAATACTCTGTGATTTTTTATATCATTAAATTGCTTCCCTACTTAGCTTTATCTAGTAAATCTCCGAATTTCACGTTTTCTACAAATATCAGATTAATCCAAATTTTTTAAGTACATAATCTAAAAAGGTTATTTGCCACGAGGAAAAAGTCATTGTAAAGATCTTCAGTGTTAAGTTCTCCGATAACTCTGAAGCTAGGACAAGATCTGGGCTCAAACGATCTCAAAAGACTGCTCATAAATACATAGTTCCAATCACCTCCAGTAATTTGCTACTTTACTTGGTTCTCATCCATAGCAAATACGTGAGTCCCACCAGGAATACTGATTTCTACTCTCACATCTCTTCTCAATACCACATCATACATACAAAATGTAGCCTTGGTAATTTTGATTTTTCTATGTTTATTTTGAGAAAACATAAGCAATATTTACGAATTTGTTTCCTGAGTTTATATTATGCTCTTAATATAAGCAGCAACTGAGGCAGAAGATGAAGCATCTACACCATAAACATAATGAAAAAATCCTGCTAAAGTTGGTGAAGACAATATTCCTCCCTTCTATTATTTTACAAGGTAACAGAGATCAGGAGGTCCGAAATCTAAAAATTCAGACTAGCAAAATTTACACTGATAAGCTGGAATGTCTCGACATCTTTGATAGAGAGTGTTATATAAGTGAGCCTCAGGCTCAATTACTTCCATAATATGAGAAGTCAATGCAGACATTTTATTTAAATCTTAAATTTAAAATTTAATAGTAGTTTCTTATCTATGATTATTCATGGGGTTTTGGGGTTTTGGGGTTTTGGGGTTTTGGGG